AGCGATTTCGTAAGCAAGACCGGAGCGGAATGCGGGCACGTCGATTAGAAAGGGATGCCTGATTAGACGCGATTCAGCGGGCGTAACGGTGATCCTCTTTTTGAAGATCGCGATCGGAGCCGATCGCGCGCGAGCGGCGAGAATGTTGCGGGAATGCTGCGAGAAATTCGGGGATATATTCCCGCAATAATTACTTTCTGGTCGAATCGTCAACAAGTCGCCGGCAATATCCGTGGAGCATTCAGATCAGCTCAACCGGCGAAGATCGCAACTCGTTGGAATCCCGTTGAAATATGCAAATATTGCAAATATTGCCGAGATATCCCGAATCCGAATATTCGACGTACTCGACGTATTCTAGCACGAGGAAGAGAAATTAAGAAGAGTGAAACGTAAGAATAAATGTTCCCAGGATATTTTCCGGTTTCGCGGGGACAGCTGGGACAGCATTCGTCGAGGAAATTCGACGACCGAACAGTATCGTTAATCTCGCGCAAGACAAGTATCGCCGCGGAGCGAGCAAACGCGAGCGGACAGCGCTCGCGCGCTCTCCCAATGAATACAAGCAGTGTGAACCGCAAGCCATGCATTTCAGCGGAGAGTTGATAAGCAAACTCGCGCGAGCGCGCCCCGGACTAACATAATAATCGTTAATTGCGCAGACTTGGCGCAGTCCGAAAGTTGTAATGGCGCTCAGTCTCGTCCGCCGAGCCATTATGTGACCGGAATGTGGTGCCATTAGAAAAACTTTCGGATTAACGTCGCTACGCGGCTATGAATCCGAAGCGGCTCGCGCCGCTTCTGCTTCCGCTGTGCAAATAAAAGTCGGACGTCGCGACTGAAGTAAACAAGCCGCCGCGAGAGAGAGAGAGAGAGAGAGAGAGAGAGAGATCCCGTACAAAAATCACCCCTTCTCCCGTCGAACTAGTTTCTCGCGAATTCGGTGGCCGATAAGGAACACAAAAAATAAAGAAAAGAAGTCGAAACGAAAGTAATCGACTTGGTTTCCTGCTGCGTCGAATGAATATCGAATGAAGTTTAACAAACAACAATGAGCGCAGATCGTACCGGCGCATCGCTCCGACAAAGTTGCTTATCCACAAAGAGCTTCGGGGCGGACGGTCTCGTCAATTTCACCCGACAGTCGTCGGCGGCGGTAATTCCCTCCGATTAAACAGACACGGCTTTGTGCGAAATCTTAAAGGAGCGAAGGAAGAAGAAGGAAGAAAGATACGCCGGGGTGGCATGTATTATCCGCTCGTGATCGCGAGATCTCGTTCGCCATCGAATCGCGAGGAATCGTTCGCGGTCGCGCGGCCTGAAGGCGACTTTTCGCTTCAAGACGCACAAGAAGAACGCGGGAAGCGATGTCCCGTCGTTTTCCTTCTTCTGTTCTCGGCGGAGCCTGCAACGCGGCGATTTTCTCGCCGGCGAGACGCGAGCGTTTTGACGCGCTCGCGCGCGTCCGATCGATCGGCAATTTTCGCGGACGAAGGGAAACGCGGGTCGCCGGCTCTCAGCTCGTTCCGCGCTGAGCGAACGAGGCAGCTACATGCGCTGTTCCGCTCTTGTGAGCGGAATTGGCCGCGCTGAGCGAACGCTCACATGCGGATGTGTGTGTGTGTGTATGTGCCGCCGGTGTCTGTAATTACCGCCTCCTTCGTAGCTGCGAATCAACGAAGGCTCGGCTTTTATCGGAGCGGCCATGTGTGGGTGTACGTCGCGCGTGTGTTTTATGAAGTCGAAAACGCGAGGGAAATATCCAGCCCCGGAGGTGTAGTTCCTTCGAGTCAACGCGACACGGCGCGATCGCGTCGACACGGTTGGGTGTAGATAAAGAGACGTCGGGGAGTTGTTGCAGCGAGCGGCTTGTACGACGATATCGGAGAGTACGAGATTTTTCCGACCGAGCGCCGAGGCGAGTGCTGTGAGGCGACTTCGTATTTTTCATCTCGAGATCCTTCGTCAGAGCTTCGATTCGCTCGTGGAACCCGATGGTGATTTTCCCGCACGGCGCGATATCTCGCGTCGTTTTCGCGTCGTTGTCCCTCGCCCCTCATCCCGCGCGAACAAACACTCCAGTCGCATTGTTAATTCGACATAATGTATAATGAGTAATGTGTGTCGAACGATGATGACGCACATTTTGCCTTTAATATTTAATATTTAAACAGAACCGATAATAGATTGACGATATCCGCGGGCGAAATTTGCGTACGATCACACGTTGCGCTTTTATGACACAAGTCTCCGTCACGATCGATTCTCTCTCTCTTTTTTATACAAACACGTGAAATTTTCCACCAAGCGGAATATAAACATCGAAATGCATCGATTGCTCCGCAAATACGAAGCTTCTGTTTAAATATTTTTCACCGTCGAGTCATTTCTCGAATTATTATACTTCCCTCGGGTCTTTCGAGATCCGCAACCCCCGCGCGACTCGAGCGTCACGCGATAAGGATTGCCCTTCACCCCCCCCCCGCGCGCGATCCTGCAAAAATGGTCTCCCCATCTCATCGAGGGTCGAACATGAAAAAGATCGACGCGGTCTGAGAGTTACTTCCGCCCGGCGCGCCGACAAGTTTTCCTTTTAATTTACCATTCTCTCCCCAAGCGCTGTTACGCGTGCATTAACCGCCGATGGTCGTCTCAGCCATCGCCCGCATTTCGCACGGTAACACCCTCTCGCTCGCTCTTTAGGACGCTTATAGTCCACCGTATAAATCGAGCCGCCCTCCGAGCTCGAGCTCGGGGGCAAACAGCAGCGCGGTTCCAAGTTGCGGAAGGGTCCAAGTTCGTCGTCGTTTCCAGCAACTTTCGAGCCGCGGATTCGCGCGAGCCAGGCGGGCCATTCCGCGAGTTTCTAATTTTCGAGCCGAGCGTCGCGCACGGCTGGCACGGGGGGGCCTTCACAATGTTGCTGCTTTCGCCGCGGTCGTATCGGTTTATGGCACGTCACGACGTGACCGCGCCGGCACCGGGCGCAGTTTTCCCGGCGACGTGTCAGCACGTCTGTCGTCGCCGCGTGTCCTGCGTGAATCGTCGCGGTCGGGACGTCGACAACAATTTAGCTCACCGCGACGGAACTGCGCCGTGATATTATGAACCCGCGGAGTCGTGCGCTAATTTCCCATTATCGGCGTGTTTGGACAGCAGGCCGGGCCATTTCGAGCGCCTCGTTTCAACGTCCGCGGCCGAAGCAGTGCGAGCAAACGCGCGGCAAACGCAAGATGAAATGTCGTCGGTCTCGACAGAGAATTCGTCAGCGTTTTCGACCTAACGCGTTCTCACGATTTCGACAAACCATGAAAGATTGGGAATTTTAACTACGCGCAGGACGAAGTGCATCAAGTGTGACAGCTGAAGATCTCCGCGACACATGAGCGACGGGAAAGAATGTTACGAGATGAGACATGGTGTTTTTAGCGTCATGTGTTTCGGATGTGTTTTTTCTTCTACGTGAAAATTATCGCGTCCTATCTTGTGCGACTTACCCATTTTTCTAACGAAAGTGTTAATTAACATCTTGAGTGGCTCGCTCTGAATGTTGAAATAATCGCTCGTTATTACGTTCAAAGAGAGAGAGAGAGAGAGAGAGAGAGAGAGAGAGAGAGATGATTCTCTATTTAGACGACTCGGTCGGCGAGACTAACGGTATTGTTATGTGCAAATATTTCTGTAAAGGGCTAATTCGTTCGCGGAATGTACGTTGGAAATTCAGCGTGATCGCGGCAATCGAGCGCGGAATGCGATCGGTATTTCGTAGAAAATTCATCGGTGCCGTTCGTTGGCGGGGCTCGAAAGTTTGTCGACGCGATTTGCCAATGGGACCCGTATGCTTGTATTCTCGATATAAATAAACCGAGCCGAATCGACAGAGAGAGAGAGAGAGAGAGAGAGAGAGAGAGAGAGAGAGAGAGAGAGAGAGAGAGAGAGAGAGAGAAAAGGGGAAGTTGAATTTTTTATTAAAACACAGCGGCGCTGTGTGTAGGTTAATGGCTCGCCCCACTTCGCCCCCTCTCTGTTCTCTACTTACGGCTCTTGTTTAAGCAATCCTTTTTATTTTTGATATTCAAACTTCCCGAGAGTAAAATCCCCGCGAGGCACGAATCGAATAATGAATAAGATTTCTCCGCCGCTACATATTTATTTTGAAGCGAGAGCACCGGAATGAAAGCTCGCTTGGAAATTCTACCGTTCGAATAACTCTCATTGCGTTTTCACCGAGCAAAGATTTTCCCAACGACAGAGTATAACGGAAGGGCGGAAAAAATTCTCTTCAATTACAAGCTATAGAGTGACCGAGATAGAGAAGGGAGAGGGAAGAGGAGGGAGAGAGCGAACCGTTCTCTCGAGAATTCAGAACGAGCTATTAATTACACCGACGATGAGAATGCGGCGGGCGCCGCATTTCGATAAGAAGTGCTGTCGCGCTTCGGTACAAACAATCTCACGATGTCCGGGATAATTCGGAGTCTCTCGAGAGAGCGGTTCAGTCGCGCGAGATTGACCGCGTTTGCACGGCGATCTGGAATCTAATCAGAGAATAACACCCGTGAACTTCACGTCGGCTCACGTGACCAGCATAACGCCGATTTGATAATTTTTCCCCGACGTATCGGAAGCGTACCGCTGATGTTACACATGTCGTAAAATATACTTACTGTACAATCGACTATACGGCGCGAGTAACTGCATGTCGATAGTTGCGACGGCGGAAATTACACGGGGACAGTTTTATGCTGTCCACGCAAACGTAGATCACAAACGGGAGTGACGAAATCGGCTTTGCAGCTGCTCGGTAAACGCAGTCATCGATCGCGACTTGGGGAAGCGAGAAGGTCCGTCGCGTCTGTGACAGTCCTCCAACGGTTCTCTCTCTCTCTCTCTCCCCCCCCCCTCTCTCTCTCTCTCTAATTCTTTCTCTTTCTCTCAGAGACCTGAAAAACCTTCAACTATCGGACGGGGTTGGAGGGGGGATATCGGCAAGGTTTTACCCATACTGATGCCAGAGCTGGACGGATCTTCGTTCTTGGCGCCCCAGCTGCCAGCCAGGTTGAGTGCCAACAGCGGCCGCTCCTTCAGCAACTCGGCCACTGAGGCGAGGCCCTCGCACCCGCAGCCTAAATGGGGCAAGTGCAGCGCCTGCACTTGAATGCAGCCGCGAAGTGCCTCGCAGACTCGGGACACTTGCTCGCCGGACAGATTCATGTCGAGCACCAGGCGCGACAGGCTGCCAGAGGCGTGAGCGAGGCCGCGACAAAGGGCGTTCACCACGCATTCCAGTCTGAAATCAGTCGTTAATGAGCCCGTTAAACGGCAGCTTGGTATGATCGATTAACGCTAAACATTCCGCGATGTTGCGCGAAATTGATCAAACTGAATGAAGCTAAAGCTCGGGAGGGGCGAGGAGTCTTTCTCGGCTATTTCGACTGATAGATACATTGTAAAATTAAAGTAAGAACTACTGATTAGACTTATGACCTTTGAACGTTCCAAGGCCAAACAGTCCGTAGAAAATGAGAAATTGTCGCTCGAAAAGTGGAAATTTCATTTTCAACGACCTATACATAAGATGCACGAAGAAATAGTTTACAAAGAGTTTATGTGAAAGTCCGTGATAGAATTTTTGTTGTATCACAATTTAACTGCGTTACAAAAATTTTAATTGCTGTATTATAATAGCATCACAACAGTTAACGTCAGGATTTACTGAGAAAGGAAATGAAGAAGAGCAATGGAATATATCGTAAAACAAAGAGGGAAGAAGAGAAAATGCAGTGACAGGAAAAGTAAAAGGAAAAATGAGAAACAAGGTAGAAATAAAAGCAAAAGTCAGACAGAAAGAGAGATCCAAGTATGAGAATTTGACGTTGACGGAGGATCAGCAGAGGACACTTTCGTCTTTTTAATCGGGGATCTCTCGCGAAGGCTGTCGAAGTAACCGATGCGACGGCGACGCCGCGAATGCCATCAGCTGCGAGTAGCCATCACTTTCGCGTAACAAACTTCCCGCGTACTTCGTACTTGCATCGATTTATTATGCTCGCGTATTCGAGCGCGAGCGGGAATTCCCAGCAGCGGCTTTCGTCGCCGCGTTCTCGACAAAAGTCGGAAAACAGCCGCGTGGCTGTATGCGAATCGTCTGTAGCGTCGCGCGACGCGACGTAGGGCGCGCCGAAAGGGGAGAATGCACTTTCAGGGTTGGCTCTGCGTCGGGCGGATGCACTTTCGGGATGTAACCGCGAGCCGATGTAAATTCGCTCGGCGAGTTTAGCGGCGCGGAAGTTCGGGCGAGAGGGAGAGACTCGTCGGCGTATATTTATGCATGCGTAATGCACATTTCACACTGTCTATTCGCTGCCGTTATCTCGCCGGATCTCGACGAACGCGCGCTGATACACATTATGCAAAGTCCCGCGGCACTCCTCCGGGAGCAGTAAGCGAGAGCCTGGATTTTCTCGCCCGTGGGATACCGACGGCGCCGCCAACGAGAGAGCGGGAGGGTTGATGCTCGCGCGTAGCATCGCGCCGGGGATACTCGAAAATTGACCCGAGCCAGTGGCGCAAGTGAACGCGTTCAGGAACCTTCGTTCCTCGACGGGGAAATTTCGGGCTGCAGGCGATTCCCCTCATCAACGTCAAATTCGGTCTCTCCCTCTCTTTCTCTCTCTCCTCCTCTTTCCCTTTTGTCTTTCTCTCTACTTTATTCCCCTCTACTTTCTCCTTTTGTTTTTCCTGTTATTACATTCTTGGGGTACAACAAGTTGCAGGACGGCCTCCTGACCCGACTGCTGCGGATTCTTTTCTCCTCTCTTTGCTTTATAATTCCATGTTACTTCTTTCTCCCTTCTTGGTGGTGCCGATCTTACACCCGCTAGAATGCTTTCGTAATACAGCGGTGAATATTTTTGTAACGCGGTAAAATTATACTGCAGCACGAATTTTCTAACACGCACGCGTCCTTGGAGGAGACGCTCAAAGAAGAAGAATAATAATGAAAGCGCCTGCTTTCTCTCCCCCATCGCCTCCTTTTCACTGTCTTGCCTTTTCACTATCGTTACCCCTCTCGCCCCATTATTTCTTTTCTCTTCGTTATATTCTTTGTTTCCACCCATCTCCTTCGATTTATCTCGCGCCGTTGTTAATCTGAGTTCTCCACCCGCGCGAAATTGGTCGTTACGAATTCGAGTCGCGGGTCGAAGCACGAGCGTCGTGTTTTTCACCAAGAGACGTTCGCGAAGTTGCAGCTAAGCGCAGTTGTAGGAACGCGTTGCAGGATTCGCGTAACGGCATCGTAATATTAATCGTACACTCGCGTTGCTCCCGGACCGTTGCCTCGAACGATGCGCGAGCACCGCGGCAACTTAAGAAGGCGCATCGGCGAGCGCGATAATCCGCGAAGGCGTTTCCTCGCGCGAAGCAAAAAATTCCGACTCGGGAAACTGCCGCGACGCAACTTGGCCACTTTGCATGGTAATCAGACGCCGCGCCGCCTCAGACGCGCGCGATGAAATATCGCAGGCCCTTTGGAAATTTCGCTCGAGTTGTCCGGCTCGTGCTTTAATCGCTCGGAGAAACAGGCTCGTGAGATTCTCGCGGGACGTTTCGACGAAATTTGCGGAATTCCGCGTGCAACGTTCGGCAGCTCGACGCATACCGAGAAAAATCAAGCGCAAGACGGATCTGACGAAACCGACTCGGCCGAGGCCGCGTCCCTCGAAACAGCTAGGAATGCAACGATAAATCGGTAATATCGAAATATCGATATATCGAGAGACAAATATCGAATATTTATCGATATTTTTTGTCTCCGATAAAACCGAAATATCGATATGAATTTTTCGTACTGATATTTCGTATTTTTCAGTTACAGCTCTGGGGGCCTATTACGGTTCTACGACCGAGGTGAAAATTATAAAAGTGAATTCACTGGAATATATATTATGTAATTGGTCAATGTCTAGTAAATTCGCTCATTTTCATCATTTTCACTTCCTCAATCGTTGAACCGTAATAGATCTCCTGCTCCATGTATGCAGTAATCTTCGGCAAACGACTGCGGTTTATTGTATATTTTCTAATAAGACTAGAACACTACAAGCGCGCGCCATTTTAGCTTATTCGTATTAAAGTTTAGAATAAATATTATAAATCATAAAAATAATCCCTGTAGTGTAATATAAGTTTAATAATATCCGACTCCAACATACGATGTATTAGGCGCATACAATTTGAAATTTTATGACACATGTTCTGCATAGTAATAACGCGTAACCGTATAACCAATGAATTTCGACGTGTAACATTTCTATTCCAAATCATCTTAAGTTCATCTTCAGATGCTATCGTTCTATTGGCTAAAAAGCATTTGAAGATGAATTCAGGACGGTCCTGAATAAAGAAGCAGACTACCCTTTCCCTCCTTCTCACTCCTCCTCCCTCTTCTCTCTCCCTCTTCTTCCCTCCCTCTCTCCACCGCTCTATCACTTTCCCTCATTCTTTCTTTTTCCTTCACTCTTTCTTTCTCTTTAACTCTCACCCTCCCTCTCTCTCTCTCTCTCTCTCTCGCTCTCGCTCTCTCTCTCCCTCTCCCTGTCTCTCCCTGTCTTTTCTTGTCTCTCCCTGCCTTTCACCGTCTCTCCCTGTTTTTCCCTGTCTTTTTCTGTCTCTCCCTATCTCTCCCTGTCTCTCCCTGTTTCTCTCCCTCTCTCTCTCTCTCTCTCTCTCTCTCTCTCTCTCTCCCCCCTCTCTCTCTCTCTCTCTCTCTCACACACTCTCTCATACTTTTCCATATTTTCTGCCTTTTTTAAAAATGGGGTACGATAATAAATTATGTGAAGATAAAAATGTTTAAAAGATCTTTTTAAATTTTTCATGTATTACCCTTTATACGCATACCCCTATATGTATATATTTTTTATATAAATATCGATATTATCGTTATCGATGGTTCTGAATGACGATAATATCGTTATCGATATTTTGAGAAATCGTCGCATCTCTAGAAACGGCACGATAGAACGCATGTTTGAGAAATGTTACGTGTCTAAGGTGAATTTGCGGTGATATTGCTCTCCCGATCGCAGAATCCGCGATGCCTGTGGACCGCAATCGGACTTCCAAGTAGACTTCGCCGGTGGCGGAGAACTCGTCAGGCTCGACGCGACACTCGGCGAAATCCGCGATGTTTAACATACAAGGCGACCGATCGGTTACACTTCGTGGAAGAAGTTTCACGGACGCGACGTGCTTCTCTCACGGAACCCATTCCGTCGCGTTCGATCGTTGTCGGATGCTCGCGACGCGATGTCACGCGCGGGAGAATAGAGACTCTCGGCGTGTATCCGGCTCGGCGGCGAGATCGCTTGATCGAGCCCCGCCGTTTCCGCGGACGGTCGACGGATCAGGTCGATTCGCGAAGTGCATCGCGACGAATACAAAAGACCAGTCGGCCGGCCTGTTTGGCCGACGTTGTGGCGAGGCGACGACGGGGTGAAGCGTGAAATGCGGGCGCGCGGGCCTGAAAGTGGGGCGGTCGAAACAAGGAGAACGTCTCGATGCGAAACAATGAGAGCCGGCGCGGGCGGTCGGCCGCGCGGCGTCGAGAGCTTTCTGCTCTCCGCGGCAAATGGTAGATAGAAGCTCGTCCTCTTTTAGTCTCTCAGCTCACGGCTGCATCGCGAAAGAGATTCCGTTTTCTCGCGGAGCGCTCTTCAAGAGGCCAGCGGGAAAGGTTGGAAATTCGCGCGACGTCGTGGCGATGGCCGACGACGAGAGGGCGAGGCGAGAACGAACGAGATCGCATTTAGAGAAATGGAGCAGAGAGCGCCGAGAACAAGAGAAGTGACATTCGTGGAAAATGGGGCGAAATTCTGTCGCGTAATTCGTCAGACACCGCGAGTCGGCTCGCGAGTTTCCGATTTCGCGGCGACTCGCGGCTCTATTGCCCCGAAATGAAACGCTAATTAAGCGCTAATTAAGCTCTAATTCAGAGCTATTTTGTGTCCGCTTTGGCTGTTTTTTCCGAGCGCCGAGTTTTTCTCTTTCGCCGATCGTTCTTCGCTCGAGCGTCTCTGACGCGTGAAAACGTATTTGTCTTCTCTTCCTACGACAAAGGAGACGCGAGACTTCCCGCGCGAAAATAAACCGGGCAGCCGGGAGCGAGCTTCGTTTCCGGCCGCGACGTACGACAAATTCGATTCGCCCCGGCGGTGCCGCGCCTCAAAATCCATTTGCATCCCCGACGAAAAGGCTCGGGCGAGCTTTGCGCGCACGACCGGACACGACGAGTGAGGAATACCGAAATCGCGAAACACACGACGTAGCGCAGGCTAGGGCAAAGAAGGAGGGCGTGAGCGGATGGGGGAGGGTCTCGATGGGGCGAGCCTGAGGCAGCGGGTGAAAGCAAAGGGTTTAAAGTCGAGGGACTCGATGAAAGGGTGCACGAAGAAGGCGCGGCGGCAGTGGGAGAGGAAACCAGTGACGGTTAAAGCTCGTCTTATCTCGTCGCTTTCTTTAATTTTCCGTCGCGAGCGAGCCCGCCGTGTCCTCTCTCCTCCGCTTCCGATTCCCGCTCTTGAGCGCGGCATCTGCAGTCGCCCGCAGAGTGCACTCTCATTGTTATGTCCTGCCCGCGTGTGTAACGGCCGCTTTTCCGAAAAAGAGCGGCAGTTCGCGCCGCGGCCGGAATATGAAATCGAGGAGGGCCATGCGTCTTGTGGGAAGACAAGAGATATCCCACGACTCTGTTTATAAGGACGAATGGCCACGCGGCCGCCCTTTCACCCCGTACTTCAACCGAGACCGAGTGCTTTCGCGTGAAGGAAGGCGGAGGATGTCGAGGCTCGTTCGCGAAGTGGGAGACTATGCGATGTTGGACGACACGCGCGATGAAGAGTAATTTACACAGCGTACAGTTCCAGCTGGGAAATTCGGTGCGACTTTCCGGGAAAATTGTCGATTCTGATTGAGAAGTCTACCGTGAAGGTGATTCAGATCTCAAGTCAAACACATGCAGGTAAATGTCGCAGTAACCGGACGTTTAAGCGTAAGTCGTCACAAAGAATATTAACAATAGTTTTGATACAAATATTCGCGTTAATTCGAAAACTCAGGATTCCCTTAAGTAGAGAAAAATGATTTAAACCAATATCAATTATTAATGAGATATTTACATAAGTAATGAAGCGCATTAATGTACCAGTGACCGGACAGTTGAGATAAATTATAGCGCTATATGTTTGTTCCAGTGTTTGACCGCAATTAGAAAGTTAGTATGTGCTAACGGGAAATAATATAAATATAGATGCTATCTCTTAATGAATTTATTAACGATCGACCATTATTTTGCCGAATCATAGGTACATACTTATTTAATGAATCTTTATTTCGACACAAAAGCATCAAATTGGGTATATTTTTTTCCAACTAATCGTTAAATACTGGAGTTTTTTTTACAATAATTATTACTTTCATTCATTATCGTTAAAATAAATAGTAAATATTTTTTTCGAAGTGGTCGGATACTGGGATGTGTTCGGCCATTGGGACGTTTATCTTACGCTTCCGAGTAGAATCTGCTTAGAATCTTCGCATGGAAACAAGTTTCCCATGCGCGGGGGGGGGGGGGGTCATGCCGAGAACAAACGTCCCAAGGACGGTGTCGCAAAATAAGGCGGGAATCGACGAGAAGTAATACAAGCACAAAATGGATTTGGAAATTTCGAGCGCGTTCCGAGTGACGTGTCTCGAAGGAGCGAGCGGAAATTCGAGGTCGGCGCGATGGAAAGTTCACCGGTAAATCGAGAAGTTCACGAACGTGCGGAAATACTTTCTCCGTCTCCTCGGGGACGGACGCGGGCGCGGAGAAAGGGAGAGTAAAGCGACTCGGAGAAATCGACGAGCATGAAAGCCCGAAAGGGGGAAACGAGCGGCCGGAGCCGGAGGCGCGTAACAGACGGAGCGAGCAGGTGGAGCGGTGTTCGAGTTAAGCTGGGATTGTAAGCGAGAAATTAAAGTCCGCCGCGGGAACGAGAGAAACGTGGGGGGTGGAGGTACGCAAAGGCGAGAGAGGAGAGAACCGCGAGATCTCCGAAGGCGGGAGTGGTTTCGGGGAGGATTGCGTACATGCGATTACGTGTTCTCGGCAATAAAAGTGCAAAGGAAAACGGAGCAAATTGAAAATGTTAACGCGTAAAACTCGGAGCGTGGCATAACGCGGTCTATTTATCGCAACGTTGCTCTCTCGCAGTTTTAATTATCGCGCAAAAATCCGTTGTTTTCAACGCGCGCAGATTTCCATTCGTAGAAACGCGCTCGCAGATCGCGTGAAATCGTTCTTTTCGTTATTATATCAATATTGTTGTTGTTGTTGTCGTAAGTAGACTGGATAAAATTCCCTTCCGCACAAAGAGAAGAGATCTATTATCGCGTACACATTTTAATGAAAGCCATTAGCGAAGAAGTAACATTCGGGAAAGGAAACTAATTAATTTTTGTTTTCGCGCGTGCCATCTCTCACACATTAGAAAGAATCTTTGAATATCTCTCGATAATGGAAAATTTGTCCAAGAAAGCAATCGATAATCTTGATTAATTCTCGCTCGCGGTATAAGAGAATTATCCGTCGATACCGAAAGAAACGTGCCGATTTCTTCGACGGATTGTAAACTCTCTTCGGAACGGCCGCGGGATTTTTCGGAAATTGACAGTAACGGCTCATATTAATCTCTTCTTCGCGTCTCAGAGGCTGCTGGTTCCCCGCAAGGAGCGAAATGGTTCCCCTCGGAAATGCGCGCGAGCGAATGAGCGAACGAGACTATGCAAATGTATATTCGCCCGGCTCGTAAGGTAAACACGCTTTTTCCATGTCCGTCGCTCCCTCCGTTTCGAAGCGAAGACAAATATCCGCGCGACGGACCTTTTCGTCGCTCCTCGCGCGGCGACAAAACAAATTTTTCAATTTTGACGTTTCCGTGAGAAGCGCGCGAACCCGATGAAAACGCCCGAGCGGAGCTTGGCTTGGCCGTGACGCTCAACGCGGCAAATCCCGATGATTTATACACCTCCCCCGGCAGCGCTGACTCAAACGTCAGTAATGTTGTTATGAATATTTAACGCTCCAGCGGCGCGTTACACTCGTAACCGAACGTCTGAATGCGAGTCTTAAATCCGCATTTCGCGAATTTATCGCCGGGACGATAATTTCGTGTCGACGGAGATGCAAAAAGAAACTTTGCCAATCGCCTGACTAAGCTACGTTGGGCGCAGTTTTTCCGCGGCGTGCAGCAGTATGCTGCACTTGGGACTCTTTTAACTTTAGTGGTATGAAGATTATAAAGATGTGAAATTTGGAAATAAAATTCGGCATATGTGTATCGCAGAGAAACTCAAACAGCGGAGAATTTCCGACACGATGGAACCTATTTATACAATTTTTATAATTCTAATTTTATAATTTATTACTATATTATAATTTATAATTTTAATAGCTTCGTATTGTTTTCTTCGTAGATCGCTACTTTCTTCTGCTATTTCACTTGTCTTCAAACTGCACACTTATTGTTAGACAAGTAAATTCGCCCATGGAATTTCCATGCTAAAATTCTCCGTTACTCAGCTTCCCTGTGTATGCCTCTATTAGCGTTGCCTTTATTTATACGTTTATATCAAGCGGCGTGCCGTTTGCATCGGCAACGTGTTAAGTTATCCGGGGGTTGTTATCATTTTCGGCGCACGATCGCGACGGTGCCCGGGATCGCTGCCAAGCCCGTAATCGGCGACGATGAAGATCGAGCGATTTATTAAAACTAACGCGCAATAGTTCCGTAGAACGTGCTTATCTGAAATCCCCGTTCGTGCCTCCGCAAGATAATCATTTTTGTCGGCGGATAAACGCGCCGGATGCGACACCTTGCGCTCGCGCGTGCAACCGACCGACTGCAAATACAGATCTCCGCGTGTGTGCGTTCCTTTTTCCTCTTTTCGCCGCACGAAAGAGTAAATATCCTCGCTGGCTCCCTCCCCCTTCCCTCTCTGTCCCCTTATCGTGGCCGACCTTATATATGACCGAGCGGACAGGCTGGCTTCCCGTAATAAATCTTCGTCGTCGTCGTCGTCGTCGTCGTCGTCGTCGTCGTCGGCGACGGTGGCGTCGAGGCTATCGACGGCGCCGTATCGAGCGTCATCGAGGCACAATAACGCCGACACGTTCGCCGGGTTCTTTATCCTTCCGGCTATTGAGTCGTGCAAGGCGACTCGATGGCCGGCGACGGCGACGGCGACGGCGACGGCGACGGCGACGAGCCGGTGCTCGCGGCCGTCGAGTGTCCGGGTGCTTCTCGCCGCGGAAAATCGTCCTTACGATCCATTGTTAATCGAGAGACTCGACAGGACAACGGCACGGAGAATTTATGTGAGTAGACGGCGGAACAACGCCGAGAAAGTAGTAATAAGCAAAGAGAGATGAGGGGAGGAGGGAGAAGAAGGAAACGAGTTACCGCTCGGTGAGCTTAAAAAGTGAAAAAGTCGGTAGAAACAACGGCGTTTCCTCCGACATTTTCTCCGATTTCCGCTGCGTGGACGTCGACCAGAGCGTCCGAATTAGTTCCTCGACATGGGTTATCTCGCTCACAGAGGAAGAGAGAGGTGGGAAATCGCGGTCTCATCTCGAGCGCGAGTCCGCTGTTCAGGATCGAGACAAGAGCGACGTGAGAACGCGCGTATTCTTGAGCGAAAGAGAAACCGGCTCACCTTTACGGGATCAAACGGGGAATCCCATTTTTGTACTCGACGCAACCCGCTTGTGTAACACGGCGGAAATCGGCTCCGGCGCGTGGCAGACAGTTTATCCCGTCAAAGCGCTTAGTTTGCGATTTCGCGAGCTGTCCGGAACTTGCCGCCGTCCCTATTCCCGAGGGAGGGGAAGAAGCAGATACGAGAAGTTAGAGATCTGAAGTTCGAGGAAGCGCTCGAAAACGGCTCTCCCTTTCACTCCCCTCTCTCTCTCTCTCTCTCTCTCTCTCTCTCTCTCTGTCTCACTCACCTGTCATGAGCTGCCTCCTCCAGGCAAGTGATGACAAGCTCAAAGTCGTTGAGCTTCTTCTTGCCGAGCACGCTCTTCAGGTGTCCGGCCAATCGCTGCGCCTCGTCCGCCGGGAACTCTTGTCCCAAGAGGGACGTGATCCTGACGAGTTTGACGCTCTCGTTAGCGGCGAGCGCGTCGAAGAAGTCGTCGAGGTAACGCGGGTCGGACCCCCTCTCCACTTGGAACACCACCTCGAGCGCCTCCAACGTGCAAGCTGCGCTCTCCAAGATCCTCGCCCAGCCCTCCAGCTCGAGCGGTGACGTGTGCACCAATGGTGCTGGCGGCCTCTCGCTCGGCGCGGGTCCAAAGCCGGGCCCGGCGCCTACCAGCCGGCAGACCGCGGAGATGTTGCCGTCGGATGCGCCGGCCGCCTTAAGCAACGAGAACACAGCTCTGGGTGGAACCTCCAGCGGACACAGTTGGTTCAGTATGAGGTGGGTCTTGGGGCCCAACAGGCCGGCCAAGTGGCCGATTATGCCGGACGGCAGGCCCTCCAGCTCGCGGCGCAGGATGTTGGCGTACTGCGCGACCGAGGTGAGGTAGTACGCCGCTAAGAACTCCGCCACCGCCATGTGAATGGGCGTGTAGAGGTCCGGCTTGCGCCGCTGGCCGAAGGTCAAACCTCGCGTGAGGAAGCCGAGGCGGGTGACTTCGATGCCGCCGCCGCGCGCCCTTAGCTCGGCCTCGGTGTAGCAGCATCTGCCCTCTCTCAGCGCAGCCAGGGACACCTTGCCGAAGTCCTCCAGACGTTTTCTGCAGTGGCCCGGGATCTCTTCGTTATACGGCACCGGTGGGTCTAGGCTCCTCTTGACGATGCACTTCACCGCGGCTTGCACGAGGGCGCTTGTCTCGGTCGGCAGGCTACCGGAGTCCTGAAGGCAGAAAAGATATCCTCTTGTTCATCGAGCGACTGTTTTTTGCCTCGCGCGACGAGCTCTATTGTTAACCGCTGTTCGCTCGTGACTGTCGCGTACTCTGCAAATTTCTCAGAGCGATCCTCGCGAGAAACGAGTGAGAACTCGTTAGCAGCGGGGCTGTGAGCGAGAATATTGCCGCTCAAAATCGAGGGAGAGAAAACACGCGTCTCAAATTTGATTCGCACATTAATTTGATAAATTTTAAGTTTAAACAATGCATACGAATAAATCGTCCAATCGAGCAGGACGAATTTGCGAGACATCAGAGACTCGCTCCTTTCTCCGTGGAGCGGATCACATCAGCGGTGCTTCAAGATCGAGCGGAAATATTCAGCCGACGATTCAGAGTGGAGAATTCACTCTGCGCGAGCGGAAAGTCACTCGGAGCTCCGGAGCTCACTCGGCCGTCATTGTTCTACTTTTTCTTCTTCAGCGGGACTTCGCTCAGAGAAATTTAGAGAATATATTGATCGGCGATATGGCCTCGATGAGCGCAGCGATAATTGGGTCATTGATATTTTATAACCGTACCACGGTTTGTTACTGAATATTAACGCGTCACAGTGACAAATTACTCATTTGACAGGTCGTTCCTGCTTCATTGGGCAAACCAATGAATAATAAATCAGTAACGCGTATCATTAGAAAACCCTAATGATCTAGTTGCATTACATATTATTACTGTTGGTACAGTACGTATGGGAGGGGGGGGAGGTTGTACGTGCGTGCATGTGTGAAAAGTTCGTCATACGCGTCCACGAGCGACGACGGTGACTCGTTCACAGTCGCCGCGCGATTTCATTCAATTGATTATCAAGCTAATACTCTGCGCGAGCACTGAGTAATTCCTGCGCACGATGCGTTCAGTGAATTAATTATTGCGTCCGGCTGTGTGCGCGTGTACGCGTGTGTGTCTGCGCTAACCCGATCGGCCATATTATATCGAGCGGTATTAATCCGAGCGTGACGGAGATTCGCGGACGCGTTCCTCGGCAATTTTTTCCTTGTCCCCCGGGGGGGGGGGAGGGGGCTGATCCGCGGGTCAGCCTTATGAATTCTCAGCGGAGAAATCGCGCGTTTCATTCTCCCGAAAAAAAAAAAAAAGAAATGTCTCCCCGCGATCACAATGTTCCGCCGACGCGATGCGCGATCGTCGTCCTGCGAATATCGGCCGCGGGTGTGCGAGGATCGATCTCGGGCAAGGAGTGCACACCGCCGCGTCTCGGTAAGGGGCGCTAATTACGGTGCCTGCCTCGCTTGTGTAAATCTCGCGCAAAACATCGACACGTACACCGTCGCGGAAAATCCCCTCGAGAATGCTGCGTTTCGCGAGGGAGAAAGAAACTTGGCCCGTGTAACTGAATCTCCGTTGCCCGCGGATCAGGTTGGAACTGTTGAAGAAAACTCGCTCGTGAAGGCGGAATATTCCTGCAGGAATGTCCTCGGTGTCGCGCGGCGCGACGAAGAGATCGTTCCCCGTCACCGAATTTTCGTCCCACCTTCCTTCTTCCCCATTCAGTTACACGGAGATTTCTTCTCCACGCAGTCCGTCGCGCGTTCCAGCACGACCCCGGTATAAACTGGTCGGAACGTAAATCCGGGCACGTCCGGAGAGGTCGCGGCTAATCGGACATTCCCCTTGTGAAATATGTTCCAGGTACTCGTAGTGCTTCAGCAAGCGCGACGACCTGACCCCTCTTCGACGAGCAATCAGCGAGAGACGGAAACGAGACAAAAGGAGCAGTTCTGATACAAAAGGACCTACCTGATATAAGCAGCAGAGCATGATCCAGCCGAGCGGATGCTGGCCGAGTTGCCTGACGGACTGCGGCTGCATGTTCAGCTCTTCGAGGAACTCGCAGGCCTTCTCGGCGATGTCATTGTGGATGAAGAAGGCCACGCAGAGGCGCTCCACGTGTTGCCATTCGAGGCCGGCCAGATGGATCCTGCGTTGCACCAACGGCGAGAGCGCGACGGAGTTGTTGGGCGAGCACGTGACCAGGATCCTGGCTTCAGGGAACAGTCGGCCCTCCAGCAGGTCGGCGGCGTCGCCGAGCGACGCCCTGCCGCCCACGCACTCGTCGTAGCCGTCCAATACGAAGAGCACACGGTCCTCCATGAGGTGCAGGGTGCGCCACACCTGCGAGACCGCGTCGCCCAACGCGGCCGTCCTCGGGAAGAGCTCCCGCGCCAGGTAGTTGAGCACGGGGCTGCCGCGGAGCTCGCGCAGAGGAACGATGAAGGCCAGAGCGGGCCCGTCGCTTTGGGTCGCCCACTGGTGAAGGAGTCGCAGGCAGAGGGTGGTACGGCCGCTTCCTGGGCCGCCCTCGACGGCGACGCGTCGGGGCGCCTCCGACACGGTGCCGTCGCTTAGCTGGAAATCGCGATTGATCTCGTTATTTCATCAAACTTTATCGCGCTCGTATAACATTGTAATTAACCAAATAAAATTAATTATTCCGATGTTTATTGTTTTAAATTGTAATTAACGTCTATTGTTTTAAATTGTAATTGCTTTAAATTGTAATCCAGGTACGCTACGATTCGAATAATCCATACGGATCTCCCATGAGAGCGTTATTTTTCACTTTTTTAATAAAATAAAAATAAAATACGATATATCCCCCATCTTGTCAGGCGTCTATTCAGTTTTGCGAAATTTTATATTTCTCTCAAGTCTGCCATAAAATTCTGTCCGTGCGCGCAAACCGCGAGACACGCGTCCGACTTGCGCGAACTGTGAACAACCGGTTGATAAGGACAGATAAAAGGCGAGATAAAACAAGGATAATAGCAGGTGCGATGAATTACGGCTTTCTTCTGGCGAAACCGAGAGAACCCTTTTTTTGTCGGCGAGAGCGAGCGACAGACCGGACCGGCCGACCGACGAAAATAAGGGGAAAAAGTCAGCCACTTCGTGAGCAGCTTCTCGGATGCTTCTCGGTTTCCCGATCTCGCCGGTCTCCGGCTAGTCAATTAGAACTTAAAGCCTCCCGCGCGAAGCACTAATCCCCTTCGATGGATCAGTCCACTGTCGTCCCTGGGACCTTAATACTCCGAACATCTTATTGCCGGCTGTTAAACGCGCAGTGCGACCCGATACTTTACGTCTCGCAATCTCGCAGCGAATCGGGCGAAAAAGCATTGCGTCGCGAAGAAGCATTTCCGCGAGGCAACCGATTCATCCTCACCGATCGACTCCCCTGTTCTTTATTCTTTGCGAGCTTGCCACCGACGACGACGCGCGCGTCCTGCGTTGTACCTGCGAGAAAATTGCGAAATCCTTTTATTTTCCATCCTCGGCGACGGGAAGGTGTCTTTATCTCGCGACTGCATTCGCGATTAAAGCTGCAAAGTCAAGTCCTCTTGTCGAGTCGTCTCGGAAACAATCGACGAAAACAAAAAGACAGCTAGTAAAAGCGGACTAACCAATTAAGTCAAGTTAAGACAAGTCAATTGGTCAAGTTGAGATAACGTTGCGGGGCTGCGAAATAAAATTCTCCGCTCGATTTAGCGATTTATCGGATGACCGATGTCCTGTTATTTAGCTCCGCCTTGGGAACTGAATCGCAACGAGTCCCTTGATTTACACGGTTTTCCATCTACACACACACACATCTCGTAAATAAAATATTTACTTGGACGTGTTCGCCGACGAGTATCGATGTCGAGCGTCGATCAAGGAGAGTAACGTTATCCGTTCGCTTCCTGTCCGATTCATCCGGTCAGTCTCGGCGAGATCCGCGCGTTCAATGGGGCGGTCGAGCAAACAGCGATGGAACTTAAAGTGTTGGCCGACGCCGCACGGTTACGACATCACGCAAACAATTAACCGACCGGCGCAATTAAACTTTAGCGCGTCTCGCGACGACGACGACGCGCGAGCAACGCGTTAACTGACGATCGGCCGATATCGGCAAACAGTCTCCGCCACCGTAATCGATAACCGTAATCCACGCGCGGAACACACGGCAACGTTTGCCGGCAATTCACTCTGTCAGCAATAATCTATCCAGTCGCGCGCATCGCACACAATCTGTCGACCTGTGGATAATACCGCCACGGCTATTATGCGCCGTACGATTGTGTGTGATGTCCAGCCGTTGGGATGAAAAACAGCGTGCCCTCCATTCAGCGGAATCGCATTTATCCCGGAGATTTCGCATGCGAATATATGTTTGTGTTTATTTATTTCATAACTGACGGGAAAAAATCTCTTTGGTACAACCTGATATATAATTTACATTCCATCGCATTGTCAAGGTAAACTGAAAAACAAAGATGATAAAAACTGAAAGATAAATGTAGGAGAGAGAAAGAGAAGATGAATAAAAGTGAAAATTTATTTGAACCTAAAGATAAATATATATTTTTTTTCAATTTTAATTTTAATTTTTACAAAGGGATTTTTCCCTTTTATGAAACAGATAAAAAAAAAATATATATATATATCCGAATAATTAATTAATTAATTAATTTTTCTACTTTTTACAACCGCCAATTTTTCGATCAACAACTTGAAAGTAGTTTCTTTATCGAATATCGATTTGGTCGACGGCAATCCCACCGTTTTGCCTCAAGTCTCAAGAGCAACTCGTACCTCTCGGTTTCACCGAAACAAAATTTACTCGGAATTAATTTATTCCGACCACTCGACCAAGGTTTAGCGAAATGTCGATAGCACGGCGCAGGTATTTTGTTTTTCTTTTTTTTTCGACAACGTAATGCAGAGACAACGTCGACGTTCGGTATGAGAGATCGTAAGCTCGTTACCGGATAATCCGTCGGCGTATTCCTACGTCACACAAAATCTACCTATCAATCCTTTGCAGGAGCGCATTTGTTCCAGCCGCTACCCGCCGCAGCCAATCTCGATTGCCGAGGAGGCGAGAGACAGGGAGAATATTTCGTGAAAACGACGAAGCGTCGTCGACAATGGCAACGAGTCGCGAGGATGCGAGACGATAAATCGTCCTTCCTTACCCGAGAGATTAGAAAGTGCACGGCCATAAATATTCTTCGATGAACCGAGGCCGAGGAAAGGGTGTCGAGAGAGGCGAGATTCGCATTGAATTACGCGACGAGAGAGGTGAATTATTTAAATGAAATTGGATGCGACAGCTATGTTTCCCGATCGAGTGATACGAAAACAATATTTCCGACAGGGAGTGCGAAATAATAAATATTCTATCGAATTATCCTTGTTGTCCCCATATCGTAATTCCAAACTTGAAAGGAGAATTGTATCATGAGACGAAAATATACACGCAAGCATAGATGTAACGGAATTCATAAGTGGAAAAGGAAGAAAATAATTATAATAACTCACAGAGGAAACAATTCTAATCCACGTAAATTTCCAAAATTTCTAAAAGCATATAAGAGGTCGTAACTTATTGATAATAAATAAAATTAAAAAAATAAGCATTGTTATTGATAATTAAACTTGTCGTATCATCTAATTATTATGTCATAATAATACAAAATTCGTGAAGAATTTGCGAAATCGCATTGTCGGCAACACATTCTATCTTTTCTTCAATACCTTCACCATTCCTCTTTACGTGCGCTTTACGAGTCCTCTGCGGTGTGTCGCAACAATAGAGTTATCTCCGCCATGTAATAACGTTCGATATTCTCGCGAGTTGCGCGAAAAAAACACAATCGCGGCATCCATCGAATATCCGGTTTGCTATTTTTATCAATTATCCTCGTCTCTACATTTTACATGAAGCGATGCAACCGGGCGTCCAGCACGCGCGCGGATGTTTCAATTTCACGATCGGACGAAGGAGTAAACTTCGCCGCGTATAAGGTCTATTACCGAACGAATAGCGATCGTTACCCGATCTCTTACCGTTGCCGGCGGCATACGCGGTGAATAATAAAAATAGCAACGCCGGCCCGCAGCGCCGCCAGCGATTGCCATAATTTTTTGCAGCTTCCGCGCAGCGCCGCGCCCTCCTGCTTGCCCTTGCTAAACCCTTCGCCCGGTTTCCCATATTTTTGTTGAACCATCGACGCTCGACTCGAGGGTCTTAATCGTCCGTTTTTCCAAATATCACCGTCGATATTTTGATTTTGCCGAGCGGCACGACCCCGGGATTTTCCCGCGCGAGTCATGTCCGACTACGAACCGTGTGTGTTGCTTTTGCTCTTAGCGTATACACAAGCACGTCGCTACTCTCGTCGGCGAGTCCTTTGACGGTACGACGCCGAATTTTTGTCGGCAAATTCTTTTCGAATATCAAGAGTGAAAAATAAAATAGCAAAATACATACAATTTGCACATGGACATGGAAAGATACTTTACGACGGATTTTAGGAAATGACAAATTTACAACTGGTCGCCGAATATATATGCGATAATTTAGTAATAATTCTGTCTGAATTGCCACGGAGGATGAAGAGCTTCGTCATCAAATTGATCACTTCATTTTTTGAATTCTGGTTATTTTTTATTTTGAAAGCTTTATCATTTTTGTAGAAAAATATAAAGCGACGCGTAAATGGCGTATGATTTGAAAAATAATTGCAGCGGCAATTAGAAAAAGAAATTTATTACGGGGTTTTAGAAAATTGACGAGGAAATGAAAGCGATTCTTCTCGTACAAGACGAGTGAGTGAATTATCGCTAGACAGTTCTAACCAGACTTCTACTGAACAACATGCTTAAATTAATCGAAATATTATTTTTAGAAATATCGTACGTCGTATCCTTAAGGATGCACCAAGAGACTCATCTTGTCGAGACAAAACTCATCTCGACAAAACAATCAGAGACTCAATATCGAGAAGGCGCGTCTTGAAGTCTGGCTCTCGCTGAACGGACTTTCTTCAAGTCGGACCTTTAATTTCCGAGGCGCGCACGAAATGAGAGCGCGAGTGCATTTGGCGGCTGTAAAAGGGCGATTCTTAAGGGGGTTATCTGTTCAGCGTGCTCGTTTATTTTCGCGGTGGAAGCACGTCGGTTTTATGACGCGAATTCATTCTCGTGTGCTCGTGCGGCTGCTGCTGCACACCCTGGTCTGTGCCTGCATCTGTCTGCTTGCCTGCCTGCCTGCTTGCCTTCCTTCCTTCCTTCCTTCCTACCTTCCTACCTCACGTATGGTCCCGACCCGACGACGCTTACGAAGCTCATTTTTCGACGCGAGCGTTTCCGGGCGACGTGGCTCATTGTCTGCATTTCATGGTTCTTTCTCCGTCTCTTCTCCTCTTTTTTCCTTACTTTTGGTCTCCAACTTTTGTTTCTCTAATTCCTATATGCTGCTATATCTCTTTCGCTATTAATGTTTATTAAACTATTCAAAATCCCCTCTTTCCACCTACTTTCTTTTTGGCTTTTGGTTTTCACATTTATCCGACTTTTATATGTTATTATTCTTTTATTATTGTTTGTTAAACCGTTAAAGTCTCTATATTGCGAGTGATTTCAAAGAATACGTTTAAAAATTGAAATAAACGCTTCCCTCTCTCGGTTCTCTGCGTCACGTGGTCGCCGCGAGATATCGACGCGAACGAGACGGAAATTCCTCGGGAAGAAAATACAGCGACGTCGGCGACGTCGAAGCTGCGCTCCGCGTGCGAGCCTGCGTCCTCCGAAATTCCGAGCAGGGTTGACTTCGCTTCTCGTCGCTTTCCCTCGCGGGGATTCGCTCCTGCAACGTTACCCTTCCGCGGTCGCCAATTCCCTTTCGCTCAGTGACGGACAAACGTGAGTCAATTAAATCAGCGGAATCGCTCGCGCGTTCATTTTGACGTCGGCGCTGTGGAGATCCGCGAAAATCGATTCCGGGCGCGATCTAATAGGAACGAGCTCATCCGCGTCTCTCTGGAGCGGCGGCGAAACTGCGGCTATAAATCGCGAGCGCGTCGATTCGAGTGTCACTGCATTTCACTCGCGGGGGAGACTGCATCGAGAGACCAGCCCGAGAAGAAGACGAAGAAGAAGCGGAAGAAGAAAAAGAACAAGCCGGGCGATCTCGTACAGCCGCCGTGCTGTGAGATAGCGAATCGCGGTGGGAAAGAAGTTGACGAAACTTTTTCCCTCCCCCTAAGTCCCCCGTTAGTCGCATCGGACTCCAGACGACACCAACTTGGCTTTCACATTCCGAAGGGAAGTTGCTCGGCGGCGGGCGAGCTGAGTTTTCGAGTCTTCGACGGTCACCGGTTAGGGTAGGATAGGGGAGCTAGGCAGGTAGCTAAGCTAGGCATGGAGAAGAAACTCCCTCGCGGCTTCTTCGGACATCCCGGAACTCGAGGACGCCGCCAGACGCAATTACGTAGTCGATATCATGCAAATTCGCGATCGGCGAAAGATCCGCCGCGCCGTCATCGTCGCCTCGATCAGATTCGATGATCGATGTCGCGTGTCGCGGCGTGCTCGCGGAACTCCTTCGTGCGCCACGCGTGACACGCGAGCCGGAAATCCTCTCGACGTTGTCAGCGCGAAGATGGGACTTTTGATTCGCCTGGCCCGTGGTTATTACGTAATGCGGTATCGCGTGACCTCGAGCAGTTATTTTTGCCAGGCCGAATGCACTCGCTCTCACTCGAATGTCAAGTACCGTGCTCTAATGTTCCCTCCTCCTCGCACGCGAAAGGCGCGAGGAGGGGGGGGAGAGGAAGGCAGATACTTTCAAAAATATGACGCGATATCCTGATATTAATGAAGTATTGCTAGCATCGTTGTATCGATAATCACAAACAGATATCGCATCTATTTTTGCTTTATCTAAAGTTATCACGATACGTTTTTCTTATCTCTAATTGATAATCTCATAATTAATCCTTTGGGTCCCGACGTATCCTTGAAGGGGAATACGGCATGCAGTATTTAAAAAATTGAAAATATTTTGATTGATGTCGTTTAACAGTGCGCTTTTGGAGCTATTTGGTAAATGTTTACTTATTTTTAAAACTAATTAAAAATAATTTACAAATATTTAAAAATAATTTCCATTCTTATCGATTTTCTAATTTTCTCATAATAAAATTTAACTTTTTCCTATTGAGGTCACTTTTTGAATCAAATTTCTTCAATATTATTTACACCTATCTATAAAAATAACACTAAATTAAAAAAAAATTAAGAGGTTAACGATCGTGCGCCGAGAGCATTAAGAAATAGATAAAAATTGAAATGGTTCCTACGTGAAATTATATGCACCAGATATTGCTACATAAACTTGTCGATTTTTTAATAACGAAGCCACTGATTTCATTCCTTTACGTTCGCTTCCGAATTTGTATAAATCTAACGTCTGGACGCACAAAGCGTCCTTGGACTCAATAAAGCAATTAGGTTCGAATTAAGTCGCATCTTTAATTACACTCACCCTGACGGGGGCGAAGATCTGGTCGGGCTTGATGTTCTCGAGGCGGTGCTCCTGCTCGCTCTTGTGCACCAGCTGCAGGTGCGGTTGAAAGTGCGCCGGGCAGAGGCTGCCGAGCGGAAGCGGGGACGCCCATGGCGGTAGATGGGGTGGGTCGCGGGTGCCCAGTTCTCTGTAGAAGGTCTTGAGGAATCTGCAACGATAGGGTTCTCAGGATTTCAATCTGTGGGACCGCGCTACGGAAATTCTTTCGGCAAAGTCAAAGGGGTCACGCGAGGGCCGGATTTCGCCGGCATTCCGGCGTACAGGGGTTGTAGTAGGCGCGTCGACGAAGGGTCGATGAAATAGTTCCGGCTAAGCGGCGAAGATAGATGAGAGAAGAGACCCGGGGATTACCCAGGTACCCATGATACATATGAAACGTTATATCCCGTGGGGCGTGAAGAGTGAGTGCGTAGAGGTAATAATATCGCGACGAATGCTCTTCAAAATGCACCCCCTCCCCTTGTGACGTTCGGAATTTTTGCCCAGACGTGTTGAGCGCTTTTTCGTGTTATTTTAACGCTCTGCCGTGCAATCGCCAAGTTTTACAGCAGAGCGACGACACACGGATGGAATTTGAGATAACTCGCGAGAATTTTAGGATAAAACTGCCGTAGAATGTCTGGCAACCCTGAAGAACACACTGACATCTTAATTGTTTATCTTTCTCCTTCATATGTGCTGTTTGTATTCTAGGGAATGAGAGGAGGTCTGCTATTAAAACATTCACTGTATTTCTTTGAGCGCAAGTTACCATGTTTCTCGGCAAAGTAAAGTCTGCTAAGAGTGCGTTCCTGAAACTCCTAGAAAACGTAAAATTGAGTAGGATTCCTATGTCAAATAAAACTCTAATAATAGTACGTTCTCTCCGTGTATATACAAATAACGACGTGTTGCAAAATTTCATAAACTTTATCAATTTCAATCTATATGTTATAATATGCCGACGTTATCGATTGCACTCGTCGTAGCGTTCTCACGTTAACGCGCTGCCGACAGATCTGAAGAAGAGATACATCGAATCAAGAGTTCCATCGGGAAAAGTCGATGAGCGAAGCAAGCCGGAAGCGTCGGCCGGCGCTTTGACGTCGCTCGGCCTCGAGCAAACTCGTCGATTCAGCGCCGGTGATCTTCTATTTAGCAGTGAGTGTGATCGGTAAATTTTCTCAGGACGGCAAAATGCGCGGTACACGAGAGAGCGTGCGCGCTTTCGTCGGATGATGCGCTCGCGTATATTTCTCTCGTTTACGAGAGGGAGAGAGAGAGAGAGAGAGAGAGAGAGATTGATGGATCCTGCAGGAAAGCCCGTAGGGCTATGAAGGTAATCACGACGAGACGGAGAGTCCCGAGGGCGAGGCGAAGAAGCTCGTGAAGGGTTTTATGACTTCCGGGCGATCGGTCTTGGGGCTTGTTCTGATTTTATGGCAGCTATTAGACCGGATATCCGTCCCGCGACGGAGCATCACGCATCACTCCCGCGATTTGCTGCCCGCGACAGGCGTTTACCGATCGCCGCGAATTTCATTTGATCGCACGCCCGACCGCTTCCGCACGCTCGCGTTTAATACGCCTCTCGCGCCCCAGAACCCCTCTCATCGGTTAAATTTTATAAACCTGCTTCAACCCCCCCCCCGTCCGACGTTATTTCCAGGCCGTCGCGCTCTCACCCCCTCGCTTATCGCGCGGCTCAAGAAAACAGACGGGCGTCACGGTGGTTAATGTTCGCCGATGATGGAATCGTAAACTGGCGTGTCGTAAATGTGTACACGGAGAGAATTTTGTAGCAAGCATTACTGTGGGATTTTGTGACAGAGGAACGCAACATCCTACTTTAATTTATTATCCTTCCGTTTTCGTATCGAGAGAGAGCAAAGGTCTTGATGGGTCTCTCAAAGAGATGTGATTGACTCAATTTTATGACAGCTGACTGACAGATACATGTATGAATGTATAATACATCGTTGGATAATAAAAGAATAACTTGATGGCATGAGTAATTTTTTAATAAAAACTTGAGACAATTTTAGTTTCAAATTTAGTTCAGTTCGTTTTCCAATCACGAAACTCATCAAAACTTTGCGCTCACCTGATACTATTTATATATTTCAGGAAGTGTGAAATCTCTTCTACTATATTAAAAAATTATAATATCAAATTGAAATCATATTAAAATTTTAAAATTATTGTATTAATTATAGCGTTAAAAAATTTACGTACGAAATGTACGTAGCGAAATAAATTCTAAAAAGCATGGGAGATGGAAAGAAAATATACAAGAGAACGAGAGAGAGAAAGAGAAGAAGAGAAAGAGAGAGGGGTTGCAATGTTCTCTTTGCGCGGATCAGGGAAATCGCGTGTACACGAGTTTTGAGAATTTTAAACGATTAAAATTATATTAAAATTGTATTAAAATATAAAAATTATTGTATTAATTATAGTTTTAAAAAATTTACGATGTACGTAACGAAATAAATTCTAGAAAACATGGAGAATGGAAAAGAAAATATACAAGAGAGAGAGAGAGAGAGAGAGAGAGAGAGAGAGAGAGAGAGAGAGGGAGAGAGAGAGAGAGGGGGGGGCTGCAATATTCTTTTCACACGAATCGGAGAAATCGCATGTGCACTGCGAGTTTTGAACGAATTGTAATCGCAAGCGAACTCATTAATATCAGCGACGATATCGGTTGGAACATCGTACACGCGATAAACCAGACTCCGCGCAATTCTCGCGAGCGTAATATACAACAAGGGTGCGGATACATGCGCGACTTTCGGGGTGATCAACTGCTAATCCGCTCGCGAGTTCGCGGCGAGCTCGGGCGAGCAGATACAACCGGCGCGCCGCGCCGGAATACAAAATCGCGACTCGAGATAAAAGAAAAAAGAAAAAAGAAGAAGAGAGTTGTTAATCAGAAGACGCAACTTTCTCGTCTCTCGTCAAATCTCCCCTCGCCCGTCCGTACTACACCATGACTGTCTGTTTGCCTGCATCCATCCGTCCATCCGTCTACAGACAACCGCTGGAAATTACCTCCGAGCGTCGTTTTATTTCCCGGGACAATGCGAGCGCGTTGGCGCGGCGCACGAGCAAAAACACGCTTAATGGAATTAGACTCTCTCTTTCTGCCTCTTCCCCTTCCCTCACACACTTTCTCACACACCCTCTCGTCCTCAGAGCGACGATTCGCCCCGGAGAAACGAGGGCTCCGTATTCTCCGTCGCGGCGCGCGACAGCCGTTCGACGACGTTTGTACGCCCGTTCGCTCGTTCGTCGGGGACTCACCTTAACAGTCTTCCCAGGGGATCCCTTTCCGGTGATGTGGGCCCGCCGGGACCACTTCCGGCGCCGAGTCTACGCGAAGAGGCGCGTGCGCTCGATATGTATGCGGCCGGCGCGGGCGGCGGGCTGCAAGGCGGACAACAAACGGGGCTGCTGCCCCCGGGGGTTGAGAGGGTGTAACTCCTCTCCAGCTCCTGCAACAGACGGGACAAGGTGCGGTGGTTATGCAACAGCGAAAGCTCGGGCTCCCTGCAAGACGAGCGGTCGGTCGAGTTACGCTCGGGCCGCCATGAGCGTCCTCCTCCTTAACCCGCAATTCCTGATTTACCCCGAGACGCTTCGACCGAGTTTCGTGTTCGTCGAATTTATGTCCTCCCCGTTCCGAGGAGATGACAGAAATGACGGCTCGTTTGGTGACACCCGCGGGATATCATCGAGATACCCACTCGGATGCTACAGTTGCTGATAAGGAGAGCACTCGCGCGTTAGACCGCATCTTGTCTTTCGCAAGTTTGCTCGGGTAAGCGGAAAGTTACTTCCAAAATTCCCCCCCCGAAACAAGTGAAAATTCACTCGAAGCGATAACGAAGGTACCGCCGCTGCAATGGAATCGTACTACAGAGACTACAGAGACATTTTGAATATTTTGATGAGACATTTTCTTGCAAATGTCATACTGGCCGAGAGTGCAAAAGTCTGGATGGGTTTCTCAAAGATGTCGTGACTGATCCAGTTTTACGACAACGCTTACAAATACGCGCGTGTAGACGCAGGTATACTAAGAATAGAGAAAATAACGTGGCAATTACTCGGTAGAATGAATGAATCCTAACAAGTTCACTCGATCCGATCCATTTCACCAGCACGAAATCATCACAGAACTTTCGCACTCGGCCGGCAGAATTCGTCCGAGGAAGAACGACGTGCCGATTCGCCCGCGAGCCGACGATCTTTCGCGCGAATAAACTTGCCAAGATAAATATCGTTATCCCGAACATCCATAAAGCGTCATTACCATAAAGCGCGGCGACGGCGGCGCGCAATTTTTTATCCGCGAGAGAGGACGAGCCGACCCGACCCGCGGAGGGCGGAGGCCGACGCGGAGCGTGTTTATATCGCGCGATTTGAATTTCTCGAGAGCGGCTCTCTGATTTTTAGCTTCCGCCAGGATCTCTCTCGTCGGGAGGCTATTCATTCCCGCGGCCGAGGACTACGTCGGACTGTTGGAATTGTGCGAGCAAACTTGGCGAACGAATGACCGCGCGCGCTACGACTTTCCTCGGCAATCTCCGCGATGGAGAGAGCGGAGTTTAAGACGCGCGGGACGACCGAGGCGAAGAATCGAATTTACGATTTCGCGCGCAGAGAGAGAGAGAGAGAGAGAGAGAGAGAGAGAGAGAGAGAGAGAAAGAGAAAACAGAGTAGGAGAAGGGGATGGCAGGGGAGAGAGAAAGGGGGGGAGGGGAGTCCGAGTTGCCCAGGGCCGCGAGCCGTTTGATCCCCGCGCGCCGTTTTCGGCGGTTTAGTTAAAGTCGGGGGATTAAGTTTCCGGAAATTTTCAAGCGATTTTGCGAGTGAGGTCGGGCTTTGTCGCACGCGCAAGCCTTCCACGCTGTTAACGGAACTCGGGGATTAAACTTCGGGGCTGAACTAGACTCTCGAGATTTACGAGTGGACCGATATCGGCCGCGCCCTTACGATGCCTCCTCTTTTAAATTTAATTTAATAGTGTGCCCGAGTTACGGCGCATTGTTTTTCCATGTTATTACCGTCGGAAAGTGCTTCCTCCCAGAGACGCGGACAGGTTCCGCGTTCGACGGCCCGATCGCGCACAAAGCTCAAAGTCCGCATATTTCGCGGAGATCCCAGTTGCGATCGAAAAATACAATCTGTCTGGAAAAATCGTTGGGGAGTTTCGTCGGAGAATCTACGCGGAGTCGTGCGTATCGAGTTACTTGTTGAATGTTTCGAGCATGCGTTTCTCCAAGTAGGAAAAGCGACATTTTCCGAGCAGAACCGAGCGGGTTGATACAAACGATGTTTCCCGGATTTCGTTAACACCGCGATCGAACAAGACGTACGAAACACTTTGAGAATTTTACTTTGTAACGTTGGCTACTTAGAAAGTGTGAATGATCGAAACGTCGAGAATATTTTCGCCTCTTATTCCAGTGAACTTTCAACACAATTGGTACGGAAAAAGCATCTCCCGTGTAATTCCGCGTAAAAATATTGACTTCATACGAAATTTATGGAGAAGCGCGAGCTGTCACAACGTTTCCGCTTCGATCGTGTTTAGGATAAGAACGAGATTCCCAAGTCGCGTCGATGAGATAACATATCTGGGAAGAAATTTGGTCATTCTACGGTCGGTACCTTTACGGTACCTTTACGGGAAAATGTTGTAGAAATTTCTGTGCCACGCGATGATAATTTGAGGGGGACCCTCGCGTGTTTCCAAATCCGGCAAACTCGCCAGGAGCTCATTGATTCTGGACGCGAGCGCAGTCGGACGGAGATTCGCGATTAACAGCTGGAGAGATCCGACGTAGTTGCGTTTCGCGATTTCACATCCCCGTTCGCGCGCGCACTTTATTAATCCACCTTTACTTGAATTCGCGCGAGTGACATCATGCCCGAGCGGGCGCGTTTATTAACGCGAGAATACGCGACGTGAAATCGGAATATTCAGCTGGGCGATCGCTCTCTCGGCGCGGGATATAACTCGGGGATCGCGCAAAAGTTCATTACAGCATCCGGACGGACAACAACTTTCGTCATTAACGCGCAACGTTTAACTTCCTGACGTGGATCCGGCATCCGAGTCGGCGGGGCTTCTTTTCCGCGACACCTCGCCGACAATTTCTCGGAATTTGCCGGAGATCTCCGCCGCTCGAGAGCGGATCAGGAAGTTTCCGAACCGACTGGCCGCGATACGGTCGATCGGGCGTGATTTCAACTATCGATCGACTTGCAACTAATCAGCAGCCGAGCCAGTCAACAGATATCCCTTTAATTGTCCGATACGCGCTCGCACATATACGCACATACGCACATATACACTTCCAAGCACGCCGATCCATTCCAGCTTCCTCGCTCCATTCAAACGGAAAAAAGTAATTCAGGAAGCCGTGCGACTAAAATCCGGGACAAAGCGGCTAATTCGGGAAACAGTACGTTCGTTTGCCTCGGTGATTCCCTATCAAATCGCGTTTTCCTCCGCGTAGCCTGGCGGAAGCGATATTTGCGATAGGGCCGCTGCAAAGCGGCAAACAAATCGTTGATTAAGAACTTTCATAAATTCGAGCTGCCGGGATTACGCTTTTGATCCCCTTTGGAGTCTTTTCAAATTCGGCCGCTCTGAGCGGAGGAGAATCCGTCTGAGAAAATCTCTCGAGAGAAAAATCTTTATGCGGGCGCCTTCGCCGATGACGCGAGTCATCGCCTGACGCGTCTGCGACGCGCTGCTGCTCGACTCACACGAGAGAAGCGGAAGACGAGACAGGGCCAGTCGATTAAGCCTGATAATCGCATTACTCTCGGATATTAATTCCGCTCGAAAGGGAAGGCTACTCACTCTCTCGCTCTCTCGTGAGAGCGAGAGAGATGTTAATTGCTGAAATGAAATAACGGCCGAAGTATCTCGTCACTCGCGCGCGAATCTCATCGAGTTCTCGGAAACGATAGAACTTTTGCAATCCGATTACGAGGCTGATATTACGTCTTTATTAACGTGCAGCACCAGCTCCTCGTGTACGCCGCGCGTGCCTCGTGTATTCTATCTGCTTGCCATCCGGAAAGTCTATCTCTCGCCGGATGAATCAGATTTATTTCGGAGAATCTTGGACCCCGCCTTTATCAAATATTGTATATTATTTTCTCTCTCTCTCTCTCTCTCTCTCTCTCTCTCTCTCTCTCTCTCTCTCTGTCGTAGCTCTAGCGGAAATTTTTTCGCAAACGGTTATTCTCTCCATGTTAATCGCGTGTAGCTCTTCCAGATCTTTGACCCCTCGAATTAAATTCTAATATCTCCCATACTCTAGAGGGAACATCCCCCGAGATTGCGTCGGACTCTTCCTCCGCTTGAGACTCATGTTTACGCATCGTCGAACAATTCAAGGGGGATTTATATCGCTATGTGATCAAGCGCGAAATTCAGAGCGTGCCGTGTCGCGCGCAGTTATTACCCTCTAAATTCCTCGAAATGGAATCTCACTCAAAATAAATGGAAATTCAATCGAAAAGCGACAGTGATAATACCGCCGTCCAAAGCTGTAAGAGCGAATGTGTCATTCAAGCTTAAAGCGGATCCCGGACTCGATACGAACGTTTCAATCGATCAGAGCAAGCGTGTTTCTGTGACGGCGCGACATATCAGATTCACTCATCAATTCGCAAAACTTCCATCCGAAATATTTTCATTTGAGGATATCCGCCCGACCATTCAGAACGAACAAATTCGCCGTGCGTGAGTGAACAATCACTCGAATTCGAGTGATCCGGCGGCCGCTGCGCTTTCGCGAAGTGAAGTTTCACCGCGCGACGGATTCAGCGAGCTCGATTTCGCCCCACGTATTTTCTCCCGCGCGCGCGAAATCCACCACCGAGGACACCCCTCGGCGGCGCGGCTGAGCCGTTAATCGCGTCTAGAATTTACATTAGATCACCGGCATGGTAGTTATCATCCAGCCGCGCCGAGCCGGAATTTCTCCGGCATCCCTAACTTCGCGGTCGGGAGGCGAGCGTGCGAGCGAGAGTTTTCCGCTTCCCGAGCGAGCGAGGGGCTGCGCGCGTCTGAAACCGACGGGCACAATGGCCGTCGAATACCGCGAAACTATAATACCGGAACGGCAGAGCCTCCCCGATCAGGACTACAAGCCGAAGGGACGGGGGGAGGGCCAGGCGGGACGAAAAGGGCGTGGAGGGTGGCACACAGAGGGAGGGCGAGCGAGCGAGAGCTCCGGCATTAATCCGAGGTAATTGCAGCCGTGGAGGACGACAAAGAGCCTTCTCCAGCCCCCCTCTCCCCCTCTCCTCCTGCCATCGCTCCGCGTTTTCGATGCAGGCACGCGCCTTCTCGCGGGCGGACAAAGACCCCCCTCGTCGTCTTCGTCGTCCTCGCCCTTCGTCGCGCCCGAGGCGAAATTACGCGTCCCGTTCCTTCGTTCTCGTTAGCCGGCACGCGAGATTACAG